GACCCAATATCCTAAATCTCTCCATTAATCTTGGTTAGTTATATGATATTCAGCTGCTCAACTTTCCTTGACATTGAAAGTTGAAAAACTACTCACTTAAATTCATTCAAAACTCAACCAACTCCACCGCCTATTTCTGGTTTTAATTTCACGAAGACTAGATTGCTGAAATTTTTATTGCAAGAATATCACTACCTACCACTTTCCCAACCAAAATCTTTTTTTGAAGAATCCCTTCATCTTCATGCCATGCTTTGTTGGTTGAGTTGGGACCAGACCACTGTCAAGGTCTTGTTGCAACATATGATCACAAAGCCAAGCCAACCACCAGCTGGGGGGGCAGCAGAGGTAATGGGCTCAGCCCCTCTCTTCCTAGCTGTTGACCAAACTCACCACTTGCTCTCCTTTGGTGACCTGTTGCGTAAACAAGACTGGTAGGTAATTGCGTGCTGAAATACACAACTTGAGGTTAATATGCATGGCTCATGTTTACCTCAGAATTACCCAATGGAACAAATTAGGTCACTGATTAAGATAGAGGGCCTCATTAACCAAAATCACCACTTTCAAGGCGATGTTTGTTTATCAACATTTCTTCTTCTGATCCAATGTTTCAATGAAACATATCAGCTGATATGTCAAAAATATAATATCAGACATGTTGCTTGCTGTCATTGTTCTAAACGTCACTAGTGTTTTCCGTTACATGATTAAAGGAAAAGTTGATCAACAACAACGACATCCTCTTGTTAACGGAATTGCAGATCATTTTAAAGGGATAAGAATTAAAAAAGATACTTTCTTTCTTTCCAAGTTTGCGACTCACGCAGAAGAAGAGTTTGAGTTTCCTTATCTTTTGCGTGTGTGTGCGTGTGTGGTCATGGGATGAATTTGACGCACAAGCAACCTAAAACCATATATTATCCAATTTCTCATCTTGCTCAGGCTGCCAGTGCCACCTCATCTTATTATCTTAATCCCGATCCTTTACAACAGTGAACGGCCCTACTCTTCTATCTTTTTGAAATCCAGCTTTTTGGGCCCGCATTTGATAGTGTTGTTCTTTGCCAAATGACACCAATAACTAATTACATGCGCGCGTGAACGACTGTGAACCGTTGATTGATGTGAGTCTAACGATAAGTTTCATACTAAATCTTGTCTAGAAATCGTCTAGGCATGCATGATAAGAATTATTGTTGTATTGTTTTAGTGGTCACGTACAATTAGTTGTCACGTAAGAATTATTGTTGTATTGTTTTAGTTGTCTCTAAAACATTGATGAAAGAATGCTTATTAAGTTTGAAGTTTTCACTTCACAGGCGAAATACAGGGGTGCTGCCTGCTGGCTGGCCCTATAAAAATGCTAACCATGTGTTTGGTGGGTTCCTAACACACACAGTGTAGAGGCCTAATTTACTTGGGCCTATTACTTGAATAAAAGATGGGCCAGAAGGCATATGTTTTTTTTGAGTGTGGAGTCCAGTATGTTCAGCAAGTAAACGTGAAAAGGAAAAGAATTAGAATTTCTTCTTTATGCACCGACTTGTTTACCCACCACACCCTATCTCTAATTCTGTTTAATTTTAAACAAAATAATATTATCGATAATGTGTTGATATCATTATGATCAAGAAACAAAACGACATATTAGCGATCCATTTTTGCCAACATCAATAATATATCGATCTGCATTTGTAATTAACGATGATGATGACGTAGTATTGTTTTAAAAAAAAAAAAAAAAAAAAAAAAAAAAAAAAAAAAAAAAAAAAAAATTTAAAATTTTATTTTTTTATTTATAAAGAGAGGAGAAAGAAAAAAAACAAATAAAAAGTAATAAATTAAATCATTAATTGTGTTTGGAAGTTTAGCTCAATATACAAGGCATGCGGTCGGCACTAAATCTTAATTATTTATATTTTGTAAAGGATTAGATGGTTTCACATTTGATTTGGCAGCTCAAACAAAGGGATTTAAACTTCTAAACTGTATATCGAACCTTACATGCAATATTGCCCATCCGATCCAAGATCCAAGATCCGACCCCATCAATATTTGCCAGCCCATAACGTATCTAGAGAGAGAGAGAGAGAGAGAGAGAGAGAGAGAGAGAGACAGAGGGCTGGGGCCTTTGGCAATGAAGAAAACTGTCATATACCTGAATGGTTATCGTGACATGGTCCCTCAAATATTGAAGCATACTATTACGAAAGCTACACAAATTTGGACACAAGTAAATATGAGTGACAAAAAAGTAAAAATTTTCACCAACGTCCCAATCAAGATATATGTCTCCACTCCCAACAGCCAACATGTACAGGAGTGAACCATAAACCGCATACGTAGCCTGCCTCGTGATCGTGAAAAATTATGTGCTTCTGATCAATTCTGAATATTTCTGATAGATCGATCATGGATATTATTATTGTGTGACTAATGACTAATTTTGAAGTTCCTATATATGTTACCCGATTTGGTATATATCTAGAGGCTTTTGTTGTTGTGTGCTTGAATTAGATTTGGTATATCTTTAATATTTGTTTCCACTATAGCCTCACAAATATTCAACAAAGCTTGGTTTGTATTATTCTAATTAAAGGAATAACGAAAGAAACCCAACTGATACATGCTTACATGTGTGCTAACTAAGGGACTAATATATGATATATGCCCGTAATTATCAACTTAGAATGTCCGACTTCACGACATGCCCTATACTCATCCATTTATTATCATTAGGCTAATTGGTTTTCATAGCCCTAACTTTTACTTTTTGACTTTGCTTCACTTAAACTCAAATTATTTTAAACGCTTTGGTCTCCTGACCGCAATCTCATATATGATTAACAACTTACTTTTAAAGATAAATGAAATTTATAGGTATCCAGATTCGAATAAGTGAAACATGGTAAACAAATTACTTGGGGGAGTGTATGAATACGTACTCTTGTTCCTTTTTAGATATGACAGAAAAACGCATGAATTTGGTGAAACCTATAGGAGATATTTGGGGTTTTTGTACAACTGTACTAGTAATAATTTGATAGGCAATTCTTACTCCATCATATGCTTAAAGACACGAGACAGAAGATTCAAAGGAACACAACTTTTATATTTAACCCTGTGTAACAAATTTAGCAGAATTGGGGAAAATAATTATAGCAGTGGTCCTACTTTTAACTTCATCGATCGATGACCTCATGAATGCCAAATGAAGATATGCAGCCTTTTAAATTAATTAATTAATAATGATATCTTTTGTTTGGAATTTGGATGCACGCAAAACATGGAGGTCAGGTAAATGCCTCACTATTTAATCCCATCACGAGGTAAGTAAGGTAAATTATTATTTGGTCTCTAATAAATGGTAACTCTCAATCAAAAGTACCATAAATAAAATACACGATAATAACGTGCGGATATCCGAATGATATAGATATATGTGTATGGATAGAGAGATTGAATAATTACTTTTCAATAATTGGCATATTGCTCTCCATCGTTCACGTGAGGTACTTAGGGTTGACTATATGTTGGGACAATTTCCAACTAGTTGCAAATTTGTTGGTAGGTCAATAATGTAAACTCTCATGTTTGGCTACTTTTTATTTTATTTTATTTTGGGTTACTTACTGGTCCCATAGAATTAAAAAAAATATTCATGATTTTTGGCATATTGTTATCAAATTTTTATTAATTGCGTTTTGTTTTCATAATAATTTTTTATTATGACTTGGGGAAAAAACTGCATTTTTTTAGTAATATATAAATATTTTTCTGGTGAGATACTGAAGGATATTCAAAAAAATAATATAGATATTTATGGAAAATATGTGGGGAGGGGTTGGGCGCAAGGTTTGTCCCTTGCCAGTACAAGCATTGATTGTCTTTTGGCAATACTAAGGTCAGGACTTGTTCCCATCCACACTGTAACCAATATTTCATCTGCCTAAAAATAACATTCCTTCCTGTTCCTCCCATAACTTGAACCAACATAATACAAAGAAAAAATACACTGTGATCCTCATCACTCCATCCCCCTTAATTACAACTCACCATATCAGTTACCTAGCTAGCTCTCTTGGATACTTTAACTTGATATATATAATTCTATTGCGCACGGGCACGGATGTTTCAAATGTAGAAGTATTATAATTTTGAAATTAGAACTCTGATATCATGTTAGTCGTCTTATTTATTAATTCATAAAGAGACGTTTATTAATGTTTCAAATATCAAAGTAGTATAATTTCTATAACCAAAGTTCTAATATCGTCTTGTTAGTTAAGATGTTTACGAAAATGATTAAGACCAAAGTGATACAAAAAATTGAAGCACTGAGAAATTTGTGGTTTAACACGAGCCCTAGAACCAGAGAAATATCAAAGCATTAGAGAGTACATGCATGTGGTGGCTCAGATCGATTGTCCATTAAGTTGAGAGTAGAAAGCAATATATATCGGTTATAATTGAGATGATCATTGGTTCAAATCAAGGTGTGTAGTGATGGATGGAAATGTGATGTGATCCTAAAATATTTGTGTGGCCAGCATGCAACGTTGAGTTGTACTACTGTGGCTAGACTAGCTGAGGTGCCACTACTATTTATTTTTCTCACTGGGGGCCGGATTGTGGGGTGAATTACTAACTTTGCAGATAGGGTTTTGATATCAATATGGGGTCTGTGTAGTAGCATTCCACACATCTCCTTTTGGTTTTGTCTTTTTTAACTTGTTTGTTTGGGTATCAAGAGGTCACGTGAATGTCTTCAACTCTCTCTCTCTCTCTCTCTCTCTCTCTTACCTGCTATAGCTGATCTCTTCTTTTAAAAGAGTAACACCACTCTACAGCTTAGGCCCTTTTGCCTTTCTCTCTTTTTACTTTCTATGTCTCCCTCTACTTCGCCGACCTCTTCCACCTTTACTGGAGTAACATATAAGATTTGATTGACTAGCCTTCTCCTAATTTGCTAGCTTTCTCTTTTGATCTCTCTCCCAATGGCTCCACCTTCCCCTTTTCTTGAGCTCAGTGGAGATGGCGGAGATCATGATCATCAATACCACCATCTCTTCAATCTAGAACCTCAAACTTCTTTCTCTTCTTCCTCTTTTTCCAGCCCCATATTCTTAACTCCATCTCAAGCCCAAGCACCATCCGATCACTATAGAGAACCACAAAACTTTCAATTCCAACTCCTAGAGGTACTATTGCTATATAATTTAATTATGTGATCTCTATATCTTATTTGGTTTCCTGTACCTAATGAATTCTCTTATTTTTTAGGCTGATCATCATAACATTGTCTCGTATGGCGGATCATGTGATCACGACCCTCAAACCCTCGAAAACGAAAGTGGCAGTGGTACTATTCTGAAATTAAGCATTTCCAAGAATGGAGCTGGCAGAAATGGAAATCCAAGTACTGATAAGTGGATGTCTTCAAAGATGAGGATGATGAAGAAGATGACAAACCCGGATCAAACTTCGAGCTGCTGTACATCCAGCGATGATAAACCAGTTGCAATGAAGTTATCAATATCACACAAGTCTGAAGAGCAGAAGCCGCAGCATCCTGACATGATCAGCTGCAGCAACAATTCGTCAAACAACATGAACAACAACGTCCCAATTATTAGGGTTTGCTCTGATTGCAACACTACTAAGACACCTCTATGGAGGAGCGGACCAAGAGGCCCCAAGGTACTTAATCTTCTGTCTAATTTATTGCTAACTTCAACTATACAAAGATAAATAGTTAATTTGATAGCTATTCTAATTGAAGTTAAAATTTTCTTTCTTTTTATTTACTTATTAATTTGCACAATTATGGTGGAGCAGTCACTTTGCAACGCCTGTGGAATTCGGCAAAGGAAGGCAAGGCGGGCCATGGCAGCTGCTGCAGCGGCAGCAAGCGGCACAACCCTGGCTGCTGCGCCACCTATGAAGAGTACTAGTAAGGTGCAACACAAAGACAATAAACCAAGAGTTGCTTCTACTGTCCCGTTCAAGAAAAGGCCGTACAATAAACTCAGCTCAACCCCACCATCAAAAGGCAGACCACCGAAGAAGCTTTGTTTTGAGGATTTCGCAATAAGCATGAACAATAACCATTCATCATCTGCCACTACCACCAACACTTCTAGCCTTCAACGAGTTTTCCCACAAGACGAGAAGGAAGCTGCGATCCTGCTCATGGCTTTATCTTGTGGACTTGTTCATGGTTGAATTAATTTCGACACTGATGTTCGAGTTTAATTAGTCCACAACAAGTACTTCTTTTGTAGTAGTAGTAGTATTTAGTTATATTATTATTAGGACTAAACCAAGTTCAGGTTAGAGAGAGTGTGAGAGAGTAACAAAATCAGTGATGATGAGGAACCGAATGAATTAGTTAGTTCAATAAAAACCAAAAAATAAATGAAGTAAATGTTGTGATGATGTTATGAGAGCTTATTAATTATATGGTGTTTTGTTTTGGGCAAGTAGAAATAGAATTCACCATGCAAATTATGGTGCTAGCTGCTTGTTCAATATAAATGTCTTGTACGTTGCGTTATCATTTTGATCAATTAATATTGTCATCCTACATATATATAAAACTAATAAATTTTTCCGAAGGTTTGCCGCATATATATACTCGTTTTGCTTTCCTTGTCCTCTTGTTGTTTGATTTCAGTGCTGCCCGCAGTTAGCTGGTACAAATCTTAGTTGTGAAGTGAAGTAGGTAGGGTTTTTTCCATTTACTGTATCAGAGTTTATAATTGAAGAGGTACCATCGATCACTGACCAGCAATTAATGCCAAGTTCGGAATATAGTGTAGAGAACCAAAATATTTTTGAGTCACATGACCGTTAGAATTAGTGGATACATACTGCATATGCAGTAGGGCACGAAGATTGAGGAGTGCAGATCATCCCAAACATACATATGAGAGAGAGAGAGAGAGAGAGCGCTCTAATACATGAGGTTTACTAATCAAAGAGAACTTTAGGGAATATATATATAGGGTGTTTCATATGAGAAAGGAACAACTGAGCTTTTTACAGTCTACAGTTGATTTCTTTTTCGTTTTGTTTTGTTGCTGAAAAGCTTTATGGGCTTACTGGCTAAGCAATAATGACGTTGATGATTCAGAGTTGATATATATATATATATGTATGTATGTATATAAATACAGCCTTTTGGGCTGGAAAGGTTGTCACCTAGAGGATCGTTTGTCTCAGACATTGTCTGGATTCGAAGTTGATATTGAAGAGAGCTAGTAGTAGTAGCAGCAGCAGCATAGTGGTAGAAAGGAAGGAGAAGGACCAAACTTGTAGTATATACGTGAGTGTACAGTGACTCTTGAGCCGTAGCCACAGTTAAGTACTTCAAAGGGATAGATAAGTTGCACAATATCAGATATCATATAACAACTTCGAGTTGGCTCGCTCTGTGTTTTTGTTGGAGGCAAATGTGGTAATGTATGGGTAGTATGAAGAAGGCATCTAGCTAAGTTCTCTTTTGGCAGTTCGAAATATTTTCAGATTCACTCACACCGCACGGCAAAAAAGAAAGAAATTGGAACCCATTTTTCCATCCATCATCCTCGCCATTTGAGCTAACCTTAATGACAAGTTCATATAATCCGTTTAGACAATGACGTTAAATAATTCATCAAGAACTTGCATCCAATGAAGAAAATGAATTGTGAGGCTCAACCAATTGGTGTTAGATCACTCCCCAATAATTATTCGGGTTTTTGAACTTAGGTAATATATCATGATCTATAGTAGGAATGGGACCACTTTCTCATGTTTTTAAATTTTAATTTTTAACTTTTGGTAAGGACAGGTTATTTTGTTTTCTCTGGTGTTGAAACTTGGGGTTCTTTATTCATGGAGGTTTTGTTGCTAGTTCCTTGTTCGCGAGAGAGAAAACAAAAAAATAATGCTCGCCAGAGAGAAAACAAAAAAAAAGAGTTTTGGAAATAAAAATAAAATAAAATAACTTGATTTAAAAGTTTGATCACATGTTGTGTGTTAAGTGGTTAAATTATTTCAGTGACTTAGATTTATCGCAATTCGAGTAAATAAACGAAACATAAATGCAGAGTCTCAGAATCCCATATTTCAAATGCCGAAGGGAAAAGGAAAACAAATCAATTCGTGTTTTTGTGTTTAGACAATGGCAAACTTTGCTTGAGAAATAAAAAATTCCTGAAAAAAAGAAAAAGAAGAAAAATTAAATCATTAATAAAAAGAAAAGAAGAAGGAAAATTATTGAAAACATCCCCATGATCGACGACACGTACTTTTATCTAGGGAACATTGACTTTAACCATAAAAAAAGCATACCTTTATACTTCAACAAAACGACAGGTCGTACGTACTATTCCGACCTAATTTTTCTCAACATTTTGAAGTCCTAAATACGCGAACTCTTAATTTGGTAAAATTAGTTAATTAACGACCCGGAGCAGACTGTTTGAGAGTTTCTTCAACAGATTCCTTTCTTGGCTCTGCACAAACAGTCGAGTCGAGCCCAGAGAGAGAGAGAGAGAGAGCGAGCTAGCCCCAAATAGCTCAGACTCAAAAGCAAAAATGGCGGACCCACCACCACCACCATTACCGCCAAAGGAATTGCCAATCAATCGCTACAAGTTCATTTGGCGAGTCCTCTTGATCTCCAATCTTGCTCTCGGAGGTCAGCTTCCCCGCTCCTTTTCGCCTTTACTTTCTGTGTGTTTCTTGAACTAGATTAGATTATGGCTTATGGGGTTGCAATTTAGAGTCTTTTATCAATTTTGGGTAATGGGTTATGTTCATCTAAGCAGAAGCTCCGTTTAAGTGATTTGGAACGCGTGTTTTCTCATTTTGGTGCACAATGTGTTTGATTTATTGACTCAGAGAAGCCTGTTATATAAATTTTGTCAAGCTGTTGTTTAACTGTTTCTTTAGGCTATGATTGTTTGATGGATAATTTGTTCTCATTGTTGTTTAATGATATGATCGCATAATCTAGTTAGACTACGGGGAATCAATTTATTAAATCTGGAAGGCCGGGGATAGAGGTTAGATACTTAAAAACTAGCTGGAGTAAGTTGACATTTATGTGCAAATCTTAATTGGCGGAAGATTATTGATGTGTGAATGTTTGCCATCTATAGAAAAAGTGGTTTCATATTTCTTGGGCCAAGATACGAGCTGTATGCTTTTCTGTCTTGTGATCGACATAAATCTTGCCAGAAGTATACATCCATTTGTCCTTTGGGCTTGTTAAAGCAGGTTTTTTGGGAAAATATAATTGATGTGGAGAAGTATACATCCATTTATTCCTTTTGCGCTTCTCTCTCTCTCTCAATCTAATCTTATTGGTGTTTTCCCTATCTGTTAAAAGGGTGATGACCAAGTATACATCCATTGTATAAAACAAGAGTTGCTACTTTTGTTGTTTTGAAGATAGCCATCTTTGTATGAAATGTCTCTTCTATCTTTCTTATTTGCGAGTGGATTGAATGAGTTATGTGACTGGATCTCTGGTTTGATTTTCCCGTAGGAAGGATTAGTCCCCTCCCTACCCTGATAATGAGAGGCTACTGCCATCTGGACAAACCCACTTTCCATTCCTCTTTACCTTGATGACATGAAGCTAACTGGTTGGTGTGCCTATTTTGCCACTTCACCATTGAGTAATTGGGGTTAAACTCTTGATCTCTTAAGGTTCTATTGATGAATTCATCTCCTCAATACTTAGTTTTACCTTTTCTTTTCTTTTATTGATAATTTGTCACAGTATGAATAACAAAAATTATAGTCAAACTCAAAAGTTAACTACAGTTTCATTCCTTGTGGAGTTGTGGTGGTTTGAAATCGATACTATGACTCTAACTTCGTTGACAGGAAATACAGGATTTTACTGACTTGCATCTGACCTCTTGCAGCTTACATGTTTATTGGGGCTCGGAAGAGAGATATTGGCATAGTAAATAGGAAATCTGCAGAAACAGGCGCTAAAAATCACAAAGCTGAAGTTGAAGTGCCCTCTCCTCCTGCAACAACTACTACAAGTACAACTTCTGAGACATGGGATATGTGAAGGTGCAACAGCCTGCCTATCCCTGGAGACCGGCAACAGTAACATTTCAAGTAGACGTTAGAAGGGAAAGCGAATTCAAAGTCAAGGATCCTGAAGAGAATAATTGAAATGATGAAGAAAAGACAATCTTAAAAGTTTTATCCGTGCAAAATCCGCACCAAGCTTTTAATTGGTGCTTCTCTTTACTGACAGAAGCTTATACAGAGAAGTTTTGTTTCAAAGTATAGACCATCGCACTTAGATCTTGTTATGTTGGGAGATGGATAATTTTGGCTTGAGTAACATGTTTGCAGCAGATTACATGCCAATTTTTGCTCGATATAAGGATCCCTTGTCCATGAGAATTATCTGTATCTTCTTACATTGGGAATTTGTTGCAAAATATTAGATTATTTATTTCTTCCCAAATACTTAGTGTGGAATTAATGGAGAAAAATTCATTAAGATTAACTACCAATGAAGATCATTAGCCTCCGTTGGGAGCCCGACCAGCTGTAAGGCACCCAAGGACAAAAATTAAGCAAACAACAAGAGTGAGAGAGAATGAAAGAAATAAAGATTTTGTCATTTTGCCTTTCGAGGGCTTTGAGTTTGGGACTTTGATGTGGTTAACAATTAATAGAGGGCTCCACCATTGTTGTGTCCTCCAACTCCCTCCTCTAACGATATCCACACTTCCCATCCAATCCCATCTGCCCTCTTCCAGGCTTGAACCATTCATCCAATTTTCAAAGCTAATTGAAAAAAAGTAAAAGAAAAAAAGAGAGGAGAATTTTGCATACGGGCCCTGGTCTTGCACAAGTAACCTCCCATTACGAATCTTTATCTCTACAATGCCAGGAACCATCCTAGTTTCAGGTACCAACTAACAACTAAGTTTTCAACTGTAATTCAAACATGGGCATGGCAGTTATGTTATGTCTAACATAAATATTAACTTTTTTCTTTCATATGAATATTGAATTCCACTTCAGTTCTTGAATTCATGGACCTTCCATCTTCATCATCTTCTTCCTCAATATCCATAAAGGGTAAGCAATTATTTATCCTCTGAACTCAGTTTCCTTCTTTAAATGTCTATCTAAAAACTTCAACAATTTAACTAAGTTCTCACTGTATACATATGCACTTGCAGTTTCCATGGGGA